TGTAATCTGAGAATGAAGGGCACCAATGTGCTGAAGTAGGAACATTGCTTATTCTTTCTCTGAGCTCTATGATGGAGTAAACATGATGCTTTAATCGTGATTTCCTGCTGTGCTAAGAGCTCATCTTTACTGAATTAGTCTGTACCTGTCAATAATGCAGATTTTTATTGTCAGTGTGCAGAATTAATGGTTGGCTCTTGCAAAAGAATTAGAAATCCCCCCAGCATGTTTTAAACTGTTTTTAAAACTGTACTGCAGTGTTTGTCTCCACCTAGTGGGCAGGTTTCCTACTTAACCTTTTAAGGAAATGTCTGGTCATATTCAGAATTCAAACTTCTGAAGTACTTTAAATATGAAATTATTACATACTGTTCAATAAATGATGAGGCTCATTTGAATGTGCTTTACTGGAGGCATCCATGTTTGTCAAAGAGCACTACTGCCACCTACTGGTTGGTGATGTCACGGTACCGTATCTGCTGTTGATCAAGTCCCAGCGCTGTATCTGGTGTTTGTCACAACGCGCTATTATCCAAGTCATCTTAAAAATTCTTTTTCCAAAATGTTGGCTACATATTAGGTGTTTTTTCTCTGGCCAGAAGTTCTATGGCAAATCCTCCCTCTCCAAGTTGGCAATCCAACAATGAACCCGATTGTGGAGGATCAGGAATGGGGTAAAAATGGCCACACTCAGTGATCGGGATGAAATTATTTTTATTTTTTTACTGATTAAATTCATTAAATCATGGCAAACATATTAATTTTTGATCATGACATGATCTTTTATTATTAAATTCATGATTACGTTCTGATGAGGTTATGTGGCTGCAAAACAAGCCCATATAATCACTCCTTCACTACCGTGCTTGGTAGGGCAACATGGTATAGGTGTCTGCAGTGCCGTAAACAGACATTTTGGGGGGGAAGGGCTCAGTTTGAAAAAGGGCACCTTATGCGTCTCATGGAGACACCAACAGCCAAACACCGACTCATGCTGATGTTAAAGATCTTCTGCAGTCCATAGGTAGATGTGCCACATTGGTGTCACTTAAACAAATAACAATTTAAAATCCACTAATATAAAGCCCAGGATTACACAATATCATATAAAGTTTATTGGGTATTTATGACAATCTGCAGATGAATTAAGACGTACACATAAAATATTTAATAAAAAAATAAAAAAAGACCTTAAACGATCTTATTTCAAGTGCATAATATGTGTATAATATGTAATACACTTTTTTTAAGGTTAAAAACTCTCATTGCAATGACAGATCATTTCCCTGTTCAGATTAGGGACAAATAGTTATTTTCAGAAAATGTTTGAAGTCCAAGATATTTACAGAAATTGAAATGTAGCTTAATCTAAACGCCCCACTTTTCTAAAAGTTATTTTGTATGAACTATGAACATAAAACAACATGTTTTTGAACATGTTTGCTTTAAAATGAACTGTTTAACAGCAAAAGGTAACCTGCGTGCTGTAGTTGTCATAAAAAGGTCAAAAAAATGACACCAGGGATTCCCTGACTGGGACCATTACAGCCAATCAATAATTACTAATTATTAATCTATGGGATGCTTTAAATTATATATTTTTTCTACTCAAATCAATATTTCATTTCAAACCATTCCTTGGCTCCTGATAGAGGCCATTAAAGATTTAATGCTATAAACTAACCATTTGGTGAAGGAGGTAAATACGCTTATTTAGGCACCTGGATGGTTAGCTGGCCCATCACCAGGGCAACGCTCTATGGAGGTGGTGCTACCTGTCTCATGGAGCAAAGTTACAAAAATCTATGCTTTTAAATCCATAAATGGTATTTTGGGCCAAAGACTAAAAAAAGTCCAGAGGGGTAAAGAGCAGGTGCTCTAGCGCCACCTAGTGCCTATCTGTGTACGTCCCTGTGTCCATGATGATGAAGGCTGATGAATGGCTCGTCTTTTTTTTCCTCACTCTCTTCTTAAGGCATGACAACACTGTCTTTGAATGCATCATTCACAAACAATGTCACCTGGCCCCCCCGCCCATAGATACCTCTCTGATTGAGTCATGGCCAGTTTCAGGTACTCCGCCTCAATGACCAACGCCTCACATCTTCATTCATGTTCCAGGAAAACTAGTGACCTGATTAGATCCAGTTTGATGCTAACCAGATGATTGGTTTTCCAAGCTTTGCTGTGACATGTTGATTGAACTGCACATTAATTACACTTAAACTTTAATAAGCTTGTGTTTTTCTGCCTGTAGGCCCCTGAAACGCTTAACTTATATTTTGAAATACTAATGGAAACACTATTTGTAAAAGTGTTTTTATTAATCAATGTTTTCTGCTGTTGTTATTATCATGCTTTCTTCTTTTCCACATTAATTTCATTCTCAGTAAGCCTCATGCGTGGGCGGATTGAGACAGGGGCCAGTGCCCAATTAAAGGACTGGTCCTGGTACTTGTTAGGGCCCCTGCTGGGAAGACATCATCCTAAATACATTCTAAGATAATAATGGTAATAAGCACTGAAACTTGATTAGACCTATTCCATTTCTACCCGTAAAGTTCTATTTTAGCAATGATCCAAAAATTAAATTGATGCACTTCTAGCCTCGGTTGTAATAAAGTAGAATCCCAGTTTCATCTGCTATATTTAAAACGCTGCAATTTGCCGTTTGGTTCTATGGCTCACTTAATATATCAAACTATTGCTTGTTTTTTTGTTTTGTTTTTCTGTTCAGTCATGAAAAAGAAGAGGTCCCATCATAGGTGTTTTCAGACCATATTTGGGGGTGCTGAAGCTCCCTTAAATTGAATCATAGCACCCCAGAAATATGGGTTGTTTTATTTTATATTGTATGATCTTTCTAAATGAAGAAAGTAAAACTAAAACAAACGAAATATGAAACTTTGTAAAAACTATACAGTACTTGGATGAGAAAAATATTATATAAAAAGTATATTCAATGAAAATCGTATTATTAATTTACTATTAATCATACTGTTAAACTAAAATGTTGAGCAACACTTTGAGTGAATCACTGGAATCGGACGTTTTCTGAAATGTTCAGTTAGAACATTTTTATGGTTTGTTGGTTAAATGTTCATGAGCAAGGTGCCCCTAATGTGTCTGGGATAATCATTATTAGTTTTAAATTCACAATTCAAAATCAATATTTCAATCTATCAAATCATAATTTTGTATTTTATAATTTTTTTTTCCAGTTTCTTGTCATTAGAATAACATTTGTGAATGTATCCTTTGCTTTATCTGCAGTGTCTAAACCTTCAAGCACAAATATATATTTACCTTATTAAATAGAATTCATTTTAGGATTGCCAGTCGTAATAGTGGTGGACAAGTGGTTAGGGCATCGAGCTTAAAATTCAGAGGTTCTGAGTTTGAGTACCACTCCCACAGAATGCCTCTCTGGGTCTCTGAGCAAAAATCCTTAACCCCACACTGCTCACCGGGCGCCGCACAATGGCAGCCCACTGCTCCTCAAGGGGATGGGTTAAATAATGAGAGTTAATTTCATTGCTCGGTATGTGTGACAATGTAATGACAATAAAATAGCTGAGAGAAAAAAAGGTGTACTAGTGAAGTTTCAGTATGGCACGTCCTAGAAGACACTAAACATTTAAGTCTCAGATAATACGATGTGTTGGTGAATCAGTTATTGGTAAAAATGCACTGAGCAAGGTTCAAAAACATAGAAAATGTATGTTTAAAGATTAAAGCTGCCAGGTTCTCAGCACCCCTAAACCTCTGATCTTAGTATTGCCCCTGGGGCCCACCATGGACCCCAGGTAATGGCCTTAAATGTATCTACATCTATTTGTTCCTAATTTAAAATGTATGCTTTTTGTTCTTTATCTTGCTGATACTGATCTATTTAGTCGGATGATTGCTACATGAAGATTGTTTTAACTGGTAAAAGAAGATTAAGTAAAATAAACAACTTATTGAATTAAAACTGTCAAAGTAAAATGACTCTCCCTTCTTTCGGATTACTGTCATCATCCTGTGTTTGCCAGTTTCTTAATGTATTGATCATCAGCCTCATGTGCAGCAGCAACCCCAGCCCTCAAGACAGGGTCTCCAAGGGTTCTAGATCGGAAAGGTTTTCATGTTATTCTTTCATTTTTCAGATCTTTATCTAAAAATAAGTAAAATGACATAAATTAAGTGTGTTTACCCTTAATTTGAGTAGGTAAATTAGATAGTTTGCCAATGGAATTAGAATTTTCTCTAGTGATAATTGGATAATATGCAGTTGAAATAAGACAATGCAATGATGTCTCTTTTACCTCCTCAATCCAAGAACAAATACTTATTTTAAGAAAAAAATTATTTTAGATTTCGACTTTTTCCAATGTAGACTTCTTGAAAGATGCATTTTTTACGTGCCACAGCTTAAATAGTGTTTTCAACCTAAAAGAAGACCAAAATGGATTTTCTTATACAAAAAAGCAGTTGGAGTCATTCATTTTGCAGGAATCACTCCTCCTGGATGATCTTTTCATCAGCCCACAAAACCTTCAAGTGGGTTTTCTGGAACATTTAGGTCCTTAATGTGTTAATTTATGGAAAAGTCATGGCTTGGAGGTTATGATTGGGCAATAAACTGTTTTAGTAGGTTGCAAGTCCTCTGCTTATTGTAAAGCCCCTCAGTATAATGTTGGTGCACTTAATGAAATCACTTATAATGGAGTTACTAAGCTCCCCCTTGAAAGCATACATCAACCTGCAGGGCCAGGGGGAGGCTGTTACCTATATCCAGTAGTTATTGAATAACAAGTATACTGTTTATCACAGGGAAACAAAGGCAGAAACCCATAAATGTTCACTACATGTTGCAAAGGAGAGTTAGATTATTCTAAATGCATCTGATATCAAAAAACTCCAATTGTAAAAGAAGAAGACATTAATCAACCAAATGTAAAGATGTGTAGCAGCAAGCGGTGCACAAACTCCAACCACAAACATTTAGAATAAGCAAGCATGAACTAAAAAGATACACTTTATTTGAAACCAGAAAGGGACACTTTTTGTACAAAAATACACAACTGTTACACTGATGCTTTACATCGAGGTTCCACTTCATCCTGCTTACACCACTGATGGTGCTCTGCACGCAGCACCGGAGTAAGGTCTAACCCATTCATAGTTTAACCATTTAAAAACAAATCCAACAAGCAGTCATTTGCCACAGGGAGGTTGGTGAATGCTGGATTCTTGAGTCGAGACAAAACTGATAGATCCATTCTTATAAATATCAGGAAAGAATTCAGAACAAGTGACGATCTTAAAAAAAAGAAAAAAACTGAGCTGAACTCTTCGTCCATCTCATGTTTCACTTGGTCTTTCCTTTTCCTGATTCGTTTGCTTTTTTCTGCTTCTGCTGCATGATTTCAGCGTCCCTGAGAGAGTGAAGACAGTTTCAGTTAGTCAGGGTTAATAAGTCAACTGGAAGGCATGAATAATTTTACCAACATGACCTTTGACAATATAGGATCAGAGTTTTAATCTTAGAATAGTGACCAGAGAAGGATTGTATCTATGCCCCGTTATAAGCAAAATTGATCACAAGGAACAAACATATCTAAACAGTTTCAGTAGATTTAATTCAGATATTATCATTCAAATAAAGAGTTAAGAGTTATAAAATACCATTTAAATGTCAATGCACATCATTTCAGTTCTTGTTAACCGAATATGTTTTTAATTGTGGATTTCGGAGACCAAAAGAAACCAGTTTAAAAACAGACATCTTCTACAGCTTAGTGGGAAACTTTGACAGGCCCTCGATTCTTTCAGTGATTTATTGATGCACCACTCTAAGCAGAGATTAGAAATGGGCAATTTCACCTCGATCAGTTCTTATAAATAACCGTCAGGCCAAATACTAAAAACTAAATTATAAAACGATTATTTTAATCAAACAATCTGCAGCACGTTATTTTAGCCTGAGAAACAAATAGAATCTAAAGAGCTGCTCAGGAAAAACTGAAAATCAGCATTGGTCAGCAAAATCCTGAAGAATGCATCACTGATGTTTAAAGTGATTTTACACAAATGTTTTACGCAGCACTTCCACATACGAAAAAACTAATTCTTCCCAGTGATTTGCGAACATAAAAAGTAATAAAAAAAAAAAAAGTTGAATTTAGGAAACAATAGAATACAGTTATGAGTTCTGACCAAAATCAAAGTTTTGTGCTTTAAAATTTTGCACAAACCACCGTACAGACTACGGCTACGTTCAAACTGCAGGCCTTGATGCTCAATTCTGATTTTTTTTTTTGGTGAAATCTGATTTTTTTGCGTTGCCAATCACATTTCCAAATATATGCGACCTGTATGTGATCTCCAGTGTGAACTGCAGTAATGCAACGCAAGTGTCTCGCATGTGCAGTAGAGCGGCGGTCCCCAACCACGGACCGCTATATGTCAGACAATATTTTCACGGACCGGCCGAGGGTAAAATGATACGACTGGCATAAAATCAAATACAAACAGCATAAAAATAAAACAACAAGCCGGTCCCATCTAGGCGTAATCGGAGACAATGACAGACGAAGTGTGCTCCTGATGTCCAGTCTGCTCCGTAGCTTTGTTTTGGTCGCTGTAACCGCAGAAAATCCCGCTTCACAAAGATAGGATGTTATCGAGAGGACGAGAATTAACCTGTGTCGAGAGGCACAGATGCACCGACTGATGTAATTGGGAGCGAATACCACAATTTTTTATAATTTTCAAAATAAAACATCACTCAGACTCGTCGATAAATTATATGTATATATATATATATAGACTTTTTTCTGTGCGGCCCAGTACCAAATGACCCACGGACTGGTACCAGTCCGCGGCCCGGTGGTTGGGGACCCCTGCAGTAGAGGACGCAATGACATCACAGGCCAGTGTGCTCTGTGTTTACAGAAGTAAACATGGATGGTAGTGACGTGGTGCATCTACCGGTCTTTCACAACCATAAAAGCAATCTTTTCAAGATGGTTAAACATTAAAATTGCTCATAAATATAAATACTGCTCTCCGCATCATCGTCCGCCATAGTTGTTGTTTTTCTTGCCGCTTCTTCATAGCAAGACCACGAATAGTGACCTTTGTCGGGTATTAATGGCGTCCAGGTCGGAGGAATGCGACCCGGCCGTTCAAACACAGGTCACATTTGAAAAGATCAGATTTGTATCGGATTCAGGCCCACAGAGCCAAGCGGCCTAGGTCGCATTGGAACTGTGTTGTTCAGACTGCCATGAAAAGATCAGATACAGGTCCCATTTGGGCCACTCTAGGCTGCTGTGTGAACATAGCCTTAATCAGCTGAGAGTTCCTCATAATATGGATTAATCAGATTATATTTAAGAAAATGTCTACATCAACACCCAAACAGGTTAGATTGACTTCAATCCTGTGGCTCAGAGGTGGGGAATGATCTGAACTGTGTTCCTTTCTGGTGGAAAAGCCTCATATCAACTGTAATAAGAGTTCAGTGCATCACTGCATCGTTTTATAGGACAGAAGTATTAGCACCCACCGTTGTTTTCTAGCAGCAGCAGACAGTCCGTCCTCATTCCGTTTGCCTTTGCACTGTTCGGTCTGCTTCTTGGCATGCTTCTGGCGGGCAAGCTCCCGCTGGTTCCCTCCTAAGGGACAGAAAACACAGCAAAGACACCTCAGAAAGATCCTCAGAGCACAGAGAAAAAACTTTATACAATGCTTTTAAAAATCGCAATAAATGAGCTTTAAAGAAAAACCATAAAATGCAAAGAAAACAAAGGTAAACAAAATAAATGTGAATGCTTGAAGTTAAAGCAGCCGACGTGGCAGAGCGGCGCTGTGGAGCAGCTGCAGGGAATGGAAAATATCAACCAGCGCTTTGTCGCAGCCCAGGGGGTTATTATTGATGGTAAAAACACTTACAAACCAATATAAAAAAAAATAATAACGATCACCATTCATCGCTTTAATCTCACCCCCATTATGCATTTTACTTATGGCTTAAATAAGCAAGAAAGTCAAACGAAAGCTGTTTTTTCAGTATGAAAGGGCTTAGACTAACAACCGGAACAGACCCGCAGACGCCTGTTATGTAACACCCGTTTAGCAGACACTCTAAAGATACACCATATTTAACCAACTAAAACTACTAAAAACAGGGCGATATGGGGTTTGGTTAATAAACAAAATCCCAGGGCTGATTATCAATGGCAGGACGGTAAATACACCGAGTAGGGCTCCGTCTATTTTCTGAAATGGAGCCCAGGTCGTTTGTTGTGGAACAAAAACCGCAAGTGTTTAAAAAATATATATGTATCTTTACTTACTTGTCATTTTAGCACCTTAAGTTTGTTTCACCCGGAATCCAGAAAGGCTCAGCCAAAGGGCCGCTAGCTCCCTCGTCGTTGTTCCAGTTGCTGCGTCCGCTGCGGTTCCGCCTGCTCACTGTGGCCGTGAACTTCTTCTTCTTCTTCTTCTTCTTATGGGGTTTTATGGCGGTTGGCAGGCTTGTGAATTGTGCATTACCGCCACCAACTGATATGGAGTAAAGCAAGAAAACAGAAAACGATTCACCCAAAAAAAAAAAAAAAAAAAAAAAAAAAAAAAAAAAAAAAAAAAAAAAAAAAAAAAAAAAAAAAAAAACCTGTGTAACTTAAACCAACATAATACTAAATCACATTTGCCCATATAATTTTAATTTACTCTAGGTCATCTTAACTCTGCCAGTTTCTGATGGTCCCATCGGTCCTCCCATCATACTTCCAACCATCTCCCAGTTCAAATCTTTAATGTCCAGGTATTTTTCTGCAGCCTTCACTATTATTTTGATTTTTTCCGTTTTTTTTGTTGTCTGTGCAGTACAATTAATTACTTCTACCATGAAAAGAACAAAATTTGTCTTTTTAACAATAAGTGAGTCTTCATCAATTTTTTGATTCTCTAGAGGTTTGGAATTTGCCGTGTGTTGAACTGTAGGTTTGGGTTTTTCTGACTGAGATGGGATCCTTTTTGCAGCTTCAGCGTAGGTTATTCCGAGCTCAAATTTCATTTTTTTAATTTCCTCAGACCTTTTGCTTGCTTCACAGCCGCGATAGGCAGCAGTATGTTCTCCACCACAATTACAGCATTTTATTATAGCTTCTTTTCCACATTTTCCGTACTCATGTTCTCCTGCACACCTTCCACACCTCTGTTTCCCTTTACAAACTGCTGCAATGTGACCGAATTTTTGGCATTTGAAACATCTCAATGGTGGAGGATTGTAGATTTTGACATTATAGCTTATGTAACCGATGAATACTTTGCTTGGTAATTGCTCTTCCTCAAATTTAATTAGCACTGATAAACTGTCAGATCTTTCTCCGTTTCTTGTTGTTTTTAACCGTTTTACTTCTTTTACTTTTGCACCGCTTATGTTTTCCAGAATCTCTTTTTCAGAAATTTTTAGAGGAACTCCTCCAATGACTCCCCTGCTGATCTTTTTGTTCTCCATTAGGCTGCACTGAACTCTTATCCCGTCAATTTTGTTGATCCGTATTGCTTTGCCTTGCTGGGCGCTGTCTCTGCAGTTAATTAGCAGGTCTCCACTGTACAGAATTCTGGCACCTCTGACTTCTCCGACAAGTTTATTGATGGTTTTTGTTAAGTGAACCGGATTCCAATTTGTAAAAGAGTCTGCCTGATTAACGACTTTGAATATGACTTTGAATTCATTTTGTTGTGCTGTGGAATGTATGGAATGATCATCACTGGATTGTTCTGAACTAGATTCCCCTTGAACTGATCTCTGTTTTTTCCGCTTTTTCTCATTTTTTGATGTTGCTATCTTCCAACCTTCATTGTCACTATTTCCCTCTTCCATCCCACAAGAATCGCTTCCTGTTTCCTCACTACTCACGGCCCAAGACATTTCTCCATAAGCAGCTTCAAAACACGCGCCATGCACCAAACGACCATCCACATGCAATCCTCCTCTCTCTGTCCTTCCGTGGCCCAACCGACAGGACGACCCACCAACCTTCCGAGCGCATGCGCCTTCTCCGACTACCCTCTCGTGAACTTCTTCTTCTTCTTCTTATGGGGTTTTATGGCGGTTGGCAGGCTTGTGAATTGTGCATTACCGCCACCAACTGATATGGAGTAAAGCAAGAAAACAGAAAACGATTCACCCAAAAAAAAAAAAAAAAAAAAAAAAAAAAAAAAAAAAAAAAAACCTGTGTAACTTAAACCAACATAATACTAAATCACATTTGCCCATATAATTTTAATTTACTCTAGGTCATCTTAACTCTGCCAGTTTCTGATGGTCCCATCGGTCCTCCCATCATACTTCCAACCATCTCCCAGTTCAAATCTTTAATGTCCAGGTATTTTTCTGCAGCCTTCACTATTATTTTGATTTTTTCCGTTTTTTTTGTTGTCTGTGCAGTACAATTAATTACTTCTACCATGAAAAGAACAAAGTTTGTCTTTTTAACAATAAGTGAGTCTTCATCAATTTTTTGATTCTCTAGAGGTTTGGAATTTGCCGTGTGTTGAACTGTAGGTTTGGGTTTTTCTGACTGAGATGGGATCCTTTTTGCAGCTTCAGCGTAGGTTATTCCGAGCTCAAATTTCATTTTTTTAATTTCCTCAGACCTTTTGCTTGCTTCACAGCCGCGATAGGCAGCAGTATGTTCTCCACCACAATTACAGCATTTTATTATAGCTTCTTTTCCACATTTTCCGTACTCATGTTCTCCTGCACACCTTCCACACCTCTGTTTCCCTTTACAAACTGCTGCAATGTGACCGAATTTTTGGCATTTGAAACATCTCAATGGTGGAGGATTGTAGATTTTGACATTATAGCTTATGTAACCGATGAATACTTTGCTTGGTAATTGCTCTTCCTCAAATTTAATTAGCACTGATAAACTGTCAGATCTTTCTCCGTTTCTTGTTGTTTTTAACCGTTTTACTTCTTTTACTTTTGCACCGCTTATGTTTTCCAGAATCTCTTTTTCAGAAATTTTTAGAGGAACTCCTCCAATGACTCCCCTGCTGATCTTTTTGTTCTCCATTAGGCTGCACTGAACTCTTATCCCGTCAATTTTGTTGATCCGTATTGCTTTGCCTTGCTGGGCGCTGTCTCTGCAGTTAATTAGCAGGTCTCCACTGTACAGAATTCTGGCACCTCTGACTTCTCCGACAAGTTTATTGATGGTTTTTGTTAAGTGAACCGGATTCCAATTTGTAAAAGAGTCTGCCTGATTAACGACTTTGAATATGACTTTGAATTCATTTTGTTGTGCTGTGGAATGTATGGAATGATCATCACTGGATTGTTCTGAACTAGATTCCCCTTGAACTGATCTCTGTTTTTTCCGCTTTTTCTCATTTTTTGATGTTGCTATCTTCCAACCTTCATTGTCACTATTTCCCTCTTCCATCCCACAAGAATCGCTTCCTGTTTCCTCACTACTCACGGCCCAAGACATTTCTCCATAAGCAGCTTCAAAACACGCGCCATGCACCAAACGACCATCCACATGCCCTGCCGCACGCTCACCAGAACATTCCACACAAACACAGCCGCTGCGCATGCGCGGAAACCCAAAATGGAGTGGGTCCGCACCATCTTTCATCCGGTGAGTGATGGTACGCCGCGGGAGAGGGGTTTAAACTCCAATACTGTAGAAGCCACGTTTCTTATCACACCGAGGCGACTGAAAATAACCACGCTGAATGCAAAGCACTTTGTGGTGGGAGGAAGTCAGCAATGAGTTTTTCACATTCATGGAATGGAAGGTTTAATAATATAAAGTTGTAGAAATCAACTGGAGAAAGGTTTAAGGAATAGGAGGACACCGAATATCTTTAAGTTGCACCAATCAAAAAACTTAATCATGATTATGATCAGTAGTCTAGTTGAAAAGAAAAAATAAGGGGGATGATGAATTATTTTTTTTTTTTTGGGAAAGCATAAATAGCCTAATTAATATAATATAACATAAAGCCCTATGGATGGTATAGTTGTTTCATGTCAGGTACAGCGTTCATTGACCTTGACCAAGGCACCTTACAGTAGAACTGCAGCCGTGGTGTTAAAAGTAAACACATTTGTTACTTTAGTAGAAGCAATGGCGTAACTATTGCTAAGCAGAGGCTGCAGCTGCTTAAGGGCCCCCAACCTCTTAGGGGCCCCATCATTGACACCTGGGTGGCCCCCTATGCTACTGTGGACTAGGACGTCTATTTGCAGATGTAATGGTGTCCTTCTAAACACACGTGATTATAGGAAGACTGACTGAACCTTATTTATACCGCAACACATTGCAGGTTTCAATGGTGAGCCATTTAAACACAACCCAGTAGCAAAGCAGACAGTTTTAATTACTATGTTAAAGGTACACTATGCAACCGGTGTTGATTTTCCAGCGAGGCTACCCCCAGAGGGCGAAAGTAAAAGTGCACTGTAGTAAATATGCTCAGCTGTTCTCCTGGTTTGTCCATCAAGCCAGGCGCGGTTGTTTTGAGCTTAGCAGCGAATGACTAATGACTAATGACTGGACGTAGCTGGCGCGACAGAAGCAGCGAGTTTACATGCAAAGTCAATGGTTGACGCGCGTCAAGGCGCAGCAAAAGGTCCAGCGGCGCGTTTTGAGCACCAGGCGCAGCACGTCTGAGCAGCTGAAGCAGCCGTTGGGCGCGTTTAACGCAGGGAGAGAGACACAGCGCTGATGATCACTCCTCTTAAACAGTTTATTGACGCCTAAATTAACTTAAAATGCAGAAATCTGCCGGCAGAATATGCAGTTTGGATTATTTAGATGAAAAACACCTACCAGCTGCCGCGGTGAACCGCTGCTGATGAAGGGATCCATACTCTCGGCGCATCCCTGGTATGTGGGGGTCTGAGCGGCTCCGACAGAAAAAATATTGAAGGCAGGATAATAATCTGAATGAACTGACTGCACTGATTACGTTTTCAGGTGTATTTTCTCACTTAAACACATATTAAAACTACTTTATTCCCACTGATCACAGCAAATATAGCTGCAAGGCAGAGAAAGGTTAGTGAAGCTCCGCCCAATGCGCCTAAGACACACTTTTGCACCGCGCAGCCAGAGCAGCAACTGGTACAAGCAGCAAAAATGAAGCAGCAGACGTGCTTTTGCTGCGTGAACGTAGCATTACTGCACAAAGATTGCCACTGTGCTAGCAACGAGCATGCTTTTAACTGGGGGGTGTAGCAGTTCTCGCCGTAAAGCAAGACTGACTCTCACGAGACTTCTGAGCCTGTGGGTGCGGGTCGGTGCTCCTGCAGTTGCAAGTGCAGTATTTCCCCCACAGACCACCAGGGCGGCCGAGAATACCTTTGTTCAACCTGAAATGACTCATTTAATCATCCATAATGTTATGGAACACATTAATTAACTGAAAAATGTTGCATAGTGTGCCTTTAATAAATAACT